TGCCTGCTCTGGGGAGGAATTCTTGTCTCAGTTTCTCTAGCCTGAGGATTCCTTTGTTTCTTGGTGATCTCCATGTGGCAAATATTTTCCCCTCATTTGACTTGCTTATCTCTGTGTCTAATCTCTTTTTATATTTCAAAAATCATTCAGTCTAAGACACACCTTACACAGATAAGGACTCACAATAAAATACAATTAAAAAAAAAAAGTCATCCATTGAAAACCATATGCACCCCAGTTCACTGGCCTAATATCAAGTTTAGTACTTCCATTGTACTTCCCAGTTTGCTGCATAGTGCCAGGGTCTTAAAAGCTTGCCACAGCCATCCAAGGTACAGCAATTGGTTTCTATTCACCGGGAGTAACAGAGAAATAGGAAGAGGAAATAGAATACATGGCTAAATGCCTTCATGAACAACTACCTGCTTTGCCATGAGACCAGAACTGGATGGTGCCCAGCAACCATTACTGGACATTTTGATCAAAGATTCTATAGCAGAATTCTGATCTAAAGGGGGAAAATATGGAGCAGAATTTCAAATTCTCATGGAATCCAGATTTTCTGGAGCCACTGAGGCTGAATGAAGCCCTGAAACTACTGCCCTAAGATAACCTTTAAACCTTAAACTAAAAATATCCCCTGAAGTCTTCTTTAAACCAAACAATAGTTTAGCTTAATTAGTAAAGAATGTTCTCCCTGAGAATTGTGCTCTTTTAATGAACCATCTATATAGGATCAAATTGACAAAAGCAACTTGAAAGGTTAGACAGGAAGCTTACGGGGCAGTGTGTTTGTATTAATGAGGGAGGAAAAATTCAGAAAAGAAGGGTCATAATGGCTGCACAACTTGAAGAAGGCAATCAATGTCACTGAATTGTACATGTAGAAACTGTTGATTGGTGTATGTTCTGCTGTGTACATTTCCAACAACAAAAAAAATTTAATAATTTGAAAAAAACAAAAAGAAAGAAAATCCTAAGGAGCACAGTTCTCTGACACATACGGGGTCACCATGAGTTGAAATTCACTCAGTGGTGACAGGTAGTTTTGTATCATGTTGCTGTTGTTGTTATGTGCCATCAAGTCAGACCCAACTCATACCAACCCCTCCTTGGGTTTCCATGGTGGTATCACCATGGAAGTAGATTGCCCCATCTTTCTTCCAAGGAGTGGCTGGTGGGTTTGAACCACCAGCCTTCTGGTTAGCAGTCAAGTGCCTTAGGCACTACACTACCAGAGCTCCTAATTGTTAGTCATTTCTCAAGCAGAAGAAAAAGTTAGGATGTAGCTTGAAAAAGTAATTCCATTTATTCCTGGAAAGGGCTTAAGACATAGAATAGGAAAAACTGAGGGCAGGACAGCAAAACTCTTAGGATTGGCCCATTGCTGATGTTGGAAGCAATGTTAGAGACCAGAGTGCAACTCTGATTTTTCAGATGAGGGTTCACCCAAGGGATAAATCAAATTTCTCAAAGCTGCATATAGCCCTACAGCCTAACAAGGGCTATCAAGCCCTTAACTCCAATATAGGCTTCATTTCTCCATGCCTCAGTTTCCTTGTCTATAAGATGAAAGTACTGAAACCTGCCTTCTAAGACTGTTGTAAGGAGTGTTGTTGTTGTTGTTGTTATGTGCCATCAAGTCGGATCCAACTCATAGCAACCCCTCCTTGGGTTTCTGAGGCAGTATCACTACGGAAGTAGATTGCCGCATCTTCCTTCCGAGAAGTGGATGGTGGATTTGAACTGCCAGCCTTCTGGTTAGTAGTCAAGAGCCTTAGCCACTATGCTACCAGAGCTCTCGTTGTAAGGAGTAGGAGCCTATAATTAGCACAGTCCCTAGCTCACAGCTACATGCTCAACAGATGGGACCTACAGAGCCAGAATTTGGTCTCTCTCTAGACTCAGACATCAAGTTAAATTTAAAGAGTCCCATTGCTCTTAGATAAACACATTCTTACCCAGTAGCTCAAACTCTAAAATGTTCCCAGGTCCATAAGATCTTTCTTATTCCTTCTACTTCCATGATCAGCAAATGGGCAGCTTAGAAGAAGGAAGATCAGCACTCTGCAAGTAAAAAATCCTTCCCCAAGATGCCCTGTTCTCCTTTAGAATTAAGCCTCTGGGCCTGCCTTTGCCACCTTTCACCTTTCACTCAGTAGGAACAGCTAACATTTGAATAGCCTCTGCAATGTGCTGGCCTTCTAATAAATTAATTCATTGAATACTTCTTTATTAAAGATTCTTATAAATTCTTACAAGAAATTAAGGACTTCTTAAAAATTAACTCATTTAATCTTCATCATAACATGATGATGAAGATTCTTCATTATCCTTTATTTTTTATTATTCTCACTTTTCACATGAAAAAGCTGAGGCATTTACCTAGGTCACCTAGCCACAGTGGTGTTAGAGCTAGAATTTGAACCCAGACAGTTTGGCTCCAGAATCCACATTTTTAACCACTATGCTGTCCTGCCTCCTAATAATAACTAACATTTACTATGTTTGAGACATTTTTATAAAGGTTTTATATTTATTTGTTTTATTATCCTTATAATTACTCCATCAGGTAAGCACTATTATTATCTATACTAACTGATGATGAAATCAAAGCACAGAGACGTTAAGTAACTTGGCCAGATTGTACATCCAGGATTTCAACGTGGTGTTCCAGCCCCAGACACAATAAGATACATGTAGTGTCTGTACTATTCTTTTATGAACAGTCACAGTGCCTACCATGACAGGTCACACTACCAGGGCCAAAAGGGTGACAGGCACTGAAGACACTACACTGTCCCTGTCCTCAAACAGCTGACAGTCAAGCAGAAGAAATAAGACCTACCTATGAAAAGTTGAATAACCAAATAAAAGTTGAATTAGATGAATAAACTGTGATACACCCATCCCATAGAGTACATGCAACAACATGAGGGAATCTCAAAAGCTTAATGCTATATGAAAGAAGCCAGACAAAAAGGAGTGTCTATACTGCATGATTCCATGTATATAAAATTCCAGAAAATGTAAACTCATCTATAGTGACAGGAAGCAGACCAATGTTTGTCAGGGGATGAGAGATGGAAGTTGGAGGGAGGGTTACTAAAAGGGGCATAAGGAAACTTTGGGGGATAATGGAAATATTCATCATCTTGATTGTGATGATAGTTTTACAAGTAAATACAAATATGTGCAAACTCCACTCCAAATTCACTGCCCTCGAGTTGGACCCGATTCATAGTGACCCCTCCTTGGGTTTCCAAAGCTGTGTCACTATGGAAGTAGATTGCCCAATCTTCCTTCCGAGGAGTGGCTGGTAGGTTTGAACCACCAGCCTTCTGGTTAGCAGTCAAATGCCTTAGGCACTGGGCTATCAGAGCTCCTAAAGTATGTGCAGTTTACTCTCTATCAAGTATACCTCAAAAACTGTTTTTAAAGTGAAAAATAAGAGCCAGAGGAGTACAAGAGAAGAGCTGCAGAAACATCTTGGAAAGGTGCACCTATGAGCAAAGAGGAAAGAGGGCAAGCAGGTGGGTAACAGAGCCAGCAATGGCACAGAAGAAGGCATGTGCAGGTGGGCATGTGGGGATAGGTAGAGTTGCCAGGGCATAGTGGGAGGTAAGGCAGGTAGGGTGCAGACAATTACAGAGGCATTCCATGTCTATTTTAAGAGTTTACACTTAACTTGGTAGACAACGTGCAGCCCTGAAGGCTGGTAAGCAGGGGCCTGCCTCAAAGCAGTAAAGTTAAACTGGTGACAGAGAGAGGAATGGAGAAGGGAAGCACTAGGAATAGGAAACCAAACAAGAGACCACAGTAGCTGCTATTCCAGTGTTTCCCCAAGGGGGTGGGAAGATTCAGGAGGAACCAGCAGAGGCACTGGCCACAGAGGGTTGTATGGGGTGGGGGAGGGTCCTAAGGGGAGAACATACCAAAGGCAGATGTTAAGCCTCCTTCTCCAGGGATTTTCATTTTCCTAGGCAGCTTTAATGAGGTCCACCTCAGGAAGGGGATAGAATCAAAGGCTCCTTAAAAAACTCTTTACAGCTAGGCTCCTAGATGCGCCAACGGCTGCCTGTGTGGCCCTGGAGAGGTTATACAGCAAACAAGCCAGCAGATGGCACTCCTGCATCAGCCACAAGCCAACTCCCTGCAGACCCATAAGGTCCACAAGGGTCCAGGGCAGAAACATGACTAGTACCAAGACAGGACAGGTATGCAAGCGAGTGAGCTGGAGTTTAAAGTTTAATAAATTATTTTCAAATATTGACCTAACCTTGCATCACTGGGATAAATCTACCTTCTCAAAGAAAAGGAAAAAAAAAAAAAGTTGAGGTTAGCCCTCTTACTTTCATTGATTTGATGTGTTTCACTTTCATTCTGCATATTACTTTGTGGTGCTTTCACTATTTGTATCTTTAAAAAAAATATTTCATTAAGTGGACTGTTTGCTTTGTTTCCTGTGTGCATTTCTTCTGATAATTAGAAAGGTTTGCATGTGTGTTTCTATAATTACCTTTATAATACTCTGATTGTATAGTACCCCCAGTTCTCTATTTAACCAATATCTCAGTATCTATAATTCCCTTGTATAAGTAATATAGAATTACTAAGCTTATTCTCTTTATTCTATCAAGAAATTTCATCATTCTATTATCTTTCTTTGTTTATCTTTGTACTATTAAAATCTGTATGTTGTTGTTGTTGTTATTTGCCGTCGAGTCGCCCCCCGACTCATAGCGACCCCTCCTTGGGTTTCTGAGGCAGTATCACTACGGAAGTAGGATTACCCAACCTCCCTTCCAAGGAGTGTATACTTCCATTTAAAATATATATATATATTTTTTCCATGAGTTTTGCACTCTTTTAAACCATTATCTATATGAGATCAAACTGACAACAGTAACTCTAAATCATAGATGAGAATTTTAGGGGGCAATTAGTCTAAGTTAATGGTAGTGAAACAATATGGGTAGAGAAAGCAAGAGCGATGACACAATGTGAAGAATGTAATCAATGTTATTAAATTGTACATGTAGAAATTGTTGAATGAGTGTATGTTCTGCAGTGTATATTTTCACCAAATTAAAATAAATAATAATAATAATAAAATACCTGTGGGCTTTTAAATAAATAAAAGTTTAATAAAGGCAACATAAGAAAAGCTTACTGAGAATATGTAAGGGGAAACATTGAAGTCTTTAAAGCCCAAGCTCAGAAAAAGGAACACAAGCTAGTCAGCCACCATCACCAGTTGTAGAATTTGGTAAAAGAGGTCATTAAGAAGCACTGAGCTGTGCTAAAGGGGCCCTGGTGGCCCAGTAACACTCAGCTGTCAACTGAAAAGTCAGTGCTTTGAACCCACCAGCCATTCTATGGAAGAAAGATGTAGCGGTCGATTTCTGTAGAGACAAACCTACTACCATTAAGTTGATTTCAACTCATAGTGACCCCCAATGGGTTCCCAAGGCACTGATCTTTATGGAAGTAGATTGCCTCATCCTCCTCCCGTGGAGCAGCTGGTGGGTTTGAACCACCAACCTTCTGGTTAGCAGCCAAATGCCTTACCCACTGTACCACCAGAGCTCCTTCTCACTGAAAACCTGATAGGGCAGTCCTAGTCTGTCACATAGGATTGAAACTGAGTTGATGACTATGGGTTTTACTGGTTTATTTATTTTACTTATTTATTTTTTTAGTTGGGCCAGGAATACCAGAGACTGAGGGACAAGAAAAGGAGTTGCCAGGCAATAAGCTTCCAGATGTCAGCCAAAGTTTTTACTGAACTGAAGCAGTGCCTGCTCAGTACAGAGCACCACTTCCCACCCTGCCCCCCCCACCACCACCACCACCAGTGCCAAGAGGGGAACAGAGTGTATGTCACTCTGGATTCCTTCTGGGCTTGCTATAAAGGCTCACATCTTTAGGATGCATTGTATAAACTAAACAAGAGCTATGGAAACTGGTAAATATTTTGCCCTTCCTGTTACCACAATAGATTTATAGTCTGGTTTATTTCCCTGAAGAAAGGTTTTCTAGGCTTTATTTCTCATTTAAAAGAAACAAATCCATTTAAATGGAAATGTTCTTTAAATTACTATTTTATTCTTTCTCTGCTATGAAAGGAAAAGCTAAAAAGATGTTTGTTATCCATTTAAACTATACCTTCTGAAATAATAAAAACTGGATGGAGTACCTTCAAAGTTTATGATAGAGTAGTTTCACATTGCTCGATTTTTAAATATATATATTAATATAACTATTTCCATGGCAAAAATATTACACTATTTGGAAGCATTTATTTAATTCTTCACACACTCGAATGCATAGTCTAATATATTAGACTAAAGGTGAGAGGGGCAGTGAAAAGGGGAAATTGGGTCAGTGAGGCGGAAGGGTAAAGACACTAAAATAAAATTCACAAGCTTCCTACTTTTAGGGCCCTAAAGACATCTGACCCTCAGGGAACTAGAAATACTTTGCAAACTTGAGCTTGCTTCTCATTACAGGATGCTGAGGAAGAGAATAGAGACCATTTCCACCTCCTTCTGAGAGTACCTTCTGGTGGTGTAGTGGTTCAGGCATTTGGCTGCTAATGAAAAGGTAAGTGGTTCAAATCCACCAGCCACTCTGAGGAAGAAAGATGGGGTGATCTGCTTCTGTAAAGATCTGCAGCCTTAGAAATCCAACAGGGGTCACTATAAGTCAGAATCGACTTAATGGTAGTGAATTGAGAGCACTTTATCACTACCAGCAAAACTGGTCTGAAATTTCCATGATGCTAATCAGGGTGGTGATGGTTCAAGTCTACCCCAAAGTGCCTCAGAAGAAAGGCCTAATGATCTACTTCTGAAAAATAAGCCATGGAAAATTCTCTGGAGCACAGTTTTACTCTGGCATTCCATGGGGTCACCGTGTGTTGGAATCAACTCAACGGCAATTGGTAAGCACAATGTTAAACTGCATGATATATCTTAATAAAGGCAGACATTGCCACAAAATATTTCTTCCCATCCTCTTCTGGGTTCCTATAGAATTCTACTTATATAAATATAACAATAAAAGATGCTACTACTACTAATAATAAAGTAGTAACCACAGGAGCTCTGGTAGCATAATGCCTAAGGCACTTGACTGCTAACCAGAAGGCTGGCGGTTCGAACCCACCAGCCACTCCTCGGAAGGAAGGTTGGGCAATCCTACTTCCATAGTGATACTGCCTCAGAAACCCAAGGAGGGGTCGCTATGGTCGGGGCCGACTTGACGGCAAATAACAACAACAACAACAACCACAGTTTGGTGTCTGATCACACAGCTAATGCATGAGAGACCCAAAATTGAACCAAGATCTGTCTGACTTCAAAATTACTATGCCATATTGCTTCCCCACCCTCTGATGATTTCCTAAAGAGTTGACCCCTACTGCCAAAGCTCAAGGACCCAATCACTGCTGAACATTCACCACATTAACCCCAAGGGAAGCAGCCCCAGGGGAAAAGTGGGAGGCCAGGGCTCCTACCTGGTGCCGGATTCCATCCTCACTGATGCACTGGGTGCAGGCCTCCTCCGGGACACAGCTGCCTTCCAACAGGACTTGGTGTGGGGGGCAGAAGCAGCCTTCTGAAGGATGGTCCCCACAGGAGCTTGTATTGCCCTCACAGTGCTGGGAGCAGTGACTTTCACAATGGTTGTACACAAGGGAGGGTGGACAAGGCATAGCTGCAAACAGAGCAGGCCGATGCAATCGTGCATATCAGCCAGAGGAGGATAGAGAGACAGAGCTGGTGGGGTGGTCAATCATCAGACACACTTGCTGGGGCAGAGAGACCAATTTTTATTTTCTCATCTTCCACAGAATTGAAACTTTTAGCTGGGAACATGACCACCCAGAATAAAGACTTCGTTTCTTGACTTCCCTTAAAACTAAGTGTGGTCATGTGGCTAAGTTCTGGGCAATGAACTGGAAGTGGAAGTGCAGTATCCTGTGGCAGCTTCAGGGAATCTTTTTTAAAAGACATCTATGTGTGCCCTTTGCCCCTTTTCCCTCCTTCTTCCAACCTACTGCATGGAACATGGATGTGACAGCTAACGCTCCATCTTAATGAGGAAAAAGCCCAGCCAAGAAGGACAGAACAAAGAGCTGCTATCCAGTTGCAGATCCAGTAAAAGCTGGAGCTATCTCCCTCTGAGCCCCTCTTTACAGCCAAATCTAATCCTAACTGATAGGTGAACTTGCACGGTCTTAGGAAGTTTTGTGATCTCTTCTTTTGAATAAAAGGATTGTTTTCTAATTTTTTTTCTCTTTTGAAAAAGAGGATTTTTTTTTAATCTTCTTAAAATTAAATAAGGAATCCACAGTTGCAAATAGCTGCTTTGGGAGAGAAGCTGAAGGTGATTCACCTCTCCTCTGTCCCTGCTCAACTTCTTCCTCACATTCCGACAGAGCCAGAAGTCAGACAGAAAGGTTGTACAGGATTTGGAAGAACTAGAGCTTTCCTCTGTATGCACAATAAACATCCAGGAATTGCACAAAGAAATCAGTAAATAGAGAGGATGCTATAAGTGACTTAGAAACTAACACTTGCCCCTTGACCTGCAGGCAGATTGAAAGGAGGTAGTGTCCACCCCACGGAGCCAGAAAATCAGAGCTGGAAGGAACCAAGGAGGTTGTGGTAGTTAAGTTGTGTGTCAACTTGACTGGGCCTGGTTTTGAGTAGCTGGGCAGCTGGATGCAGTCAATCCCCATGATGAGACTGGTAATCAATTCCATAGTGAAAATCTACTGGAGCAGCTGAGTAGCTGACTTAGGGATGTGGTCTGCTTCCAGTGTATAAGAAGAAGCTTTGAGAAAGTTCTCTGCAGCTTTCGGCATGCTTGGACCCTGCATGTAGCGGAGTCTTCATTCAGCAGCCTGCCATGTTTCCTGCTGATGTTGGGACTATCTCTGGACTTAAACTAGTGGCCTGCCATGTTGTTTGCTAATCTTGGGGCTGTGCCATTTTATTTGTCGGCCTAAGGGTTTGTCACCCTTAGCAGTTAGCAGCTGCCTGAGTAAAGCAAAGCCTTCAGCTTCTGTGGGTTGGGAGCAAGAGGCAGAGCTGAAGACCAAGGAGAGAGGTCTTCACCCAGGCCCTACAGGTGGCACTTTGAACTCAGATTTCTAGTCTCCTAAACTGTAAGAAAATAAACTCCTGTTTGTTAAAGCCACTCATTTGTGGTCATCTAGTCTAACTCATTCATTCTAAGAGGCAAAAACATAAGTCCACAAAGGCCAAGAGAAGAACCAATTTGCAGATGAGCTGAGACTACGATGCCCAAATCCTCCAGCTCCAGGTCAGAGCTGAGACAGCTCTGTGATAATGAACTCTAAGAACTCCCAGATTCATATATATATTGATGTCCATTAAAAAGTTGAGGATCGTATTTGATAATTGAGTGTCTTAAAGTTTAGTGTTCTTTCCATCCCAGCAGCCTTTGAGGGCAGAATCCTTATCTGATTCATTTTGGTATCCCTTACATATTCAATGATAAATAAATGCAAAGTCCAAGTTGAAAGTTGACCTTGAGGGGGAAAGACTGACATTACTTATCCTGTGGCATTTGTAATCAAGAAGGCTCTTAGTATTTAAGAAGACAATTCCACTCACTCTTTAAGATCCTTCTGAGGCATGGCCTACTCAGTGAGCCTTTGCTAAAGCTTGGTGGGATTTCAAATTCAATAGTGACTGACTACACTGTACTTTGCTAATGCCTATATGTTTCTAATTAAAATCACATTCGTTTCAACTATGGAAATACTAATAGAAAGAAGCATGCTTTGACTTACATAAAAATTTTGTATTTGAATCATTTACACATCTACCATCTTATTCGATCCTAACTGGAATTCTACATAATTGGAAATATAGGAATTTTAATCTTCATTACTCAGAAAAAGAATCTGAGACCCAAAGAGGTTAAACAAATCTACAGTTAGTTGGTCTTGAAGATTTTGAAGGTTACATATGGAGACTTACCACAGAAATCAGTTGTTCTCCAGTCAACACAGACCCCTTTGGTCCGACAAAAGTGGGCATAAGAGGCAATCACCTCACACACTTGTTCCTGGTGGCAACTATCCTGCTGGCAGATGGCATAAAATGTGGCTGGAGCAAGGACTTTGTGGCACTCAGCAAACAAAGGTGAGAGGAGGACCTGGCAATGGGAGCTGCTGGAGACAGGACACTCCTCCTCAGGAATGGGCTGGCATTTCTGCCCTGGCTGCTGCATAGTCCACTCCTGGATAAATGTCCTCTGGTCTGTGGTGACCGTGCCATCCTTCAGCATGAAGTCATTGGCCCCATTCTCATCACAGATTCCTAAAGAAACAAGGAAAGGCAAGGTTGGAAGCCTTGGGTGCCAACACATTGATGCCAGAGACCTGGCTGCTCTCCATCCCCACCAGGGTGTGAACCATAGTCCTTGCTATGGGACCCAGAAATTTAAGTATCCAAGAGTCCTGAAAGTACAGTAACTAATATTCTGACTCATAGTGACCCCCATTCGGTCTCTAAAGCTGTAAATCTTCATGGAAGCAGACTGCTTCATCTTTCTTCTGTGGAGCACCTGGTGAGTTCAAACCACTCACTTTTTAGTTAGCAGCCAAATGCCTTAACAACTACATCACCAGAGCTCCTAAGTATTGGAGGAGGGGAGAAATGTTCTTACCACAGAGACCATACATTTTTGAAGCTAAAGTCTTGGGGCTGAGCTGCAACTGGAACTCATTGTTTTGTGGAGTGAATGTGAAGATGTGGCCAAGATGATTGAATCTGATCTCATGCATGATGCCACCATAAACATTGACTTCCATGTCCCCACCTATGTAAGGGACTGAGACCAGTCGGGCATTAACAGTCACCTGCTCAAAGAAGAAAATGAGCTCATCAGTAGTCATAACAATAAGGAATCCTTAAACTCCAGTATTTGTTTCTTACAAAAGTTATTGACAGTCCCTACACGTTCATCACACTCAACCCCAGTGTTATCCACAAACCCAGATATTTGTCAGCAGCTCTTATACTGAAAAGCCACTTTATAGAGATGGACAGAAGAACAGACTAGTATAATACTGCACAGAGGGTCATGCATGTTAAATGAACTTTGAGTCTGTGTGCTCTCAACAGGGAAGAACAGCTCCTTCAAGACAGGCTGGGAAAGTTGTTATTGCACCAAATCACCAGGAAATTATCTCCAGGAGTATCTAGCAGAACTATTTTAAGTGATTTTTTTTTTTTTCTTCATCACAAGAAGCTCTTACTGTGAGGACCAAGTTTGCTGGTCCAATAGAGCCTAGTGGAACCACTGAGACTATGGCCCCAAGCTGTCCTTCAGGTCTGGGATTGAACCCACACCTGTGGTTTCCAGCCAAACAAAGTACAGGTATGTGAGTTAAATATTTACCTCAAGTAGACACATGCCCTGGAGAGAACAATCATGGGAGAAGGAAGGGCTGCTTATGCACAGAGAGACAGCTCAGGGGGCAGAAGAGTATGGAGGGATGGACACTGGGATGAGGTAACTATGGGGAGGAAGTGGGAGGGGAACTGTTGCATTGTGGTAAACTGTGGTCAATGACATGAGACAAAGTATATGTGAACTGCTGTATGGAAAGTGAATTTGCTCTGTAAATCTTCACCCAAATCAAAATAAAATTTTAAAAAAAAAAGAAGCTCTTACTTTGGAGGCCCCATCTCATATCATATCAAACATATTAAAATATAATCACATCCCATAATAAATGTAATTTTTGCTCAAAATAATTGGGAATGGCTATTATCCTTTTTTATTTTAATTTTTTTTTTTTTTTTGGCTCTGAGTTACTCATGTAATATACAACTCATTGTGATTTTTCAGCAGTTGTGCATATTGGAAGCTTTGCAAAGCAAGAAAATCTAACCTACAAATTTCAAATGTAATGAAATATTTATGACTTCTAAATTAAACAAGTAATGAAGTTGGCATAATGTAACCTTTTCCACACATTTAATTCAACATTTATTTATATCAGTTTTGCAGTTTTCTTTTAAAATTTTGGAGCCATGAAGTTTGATCAGACCATAAATCATTTCAAAGGTCACTGAAAAGCTCTTAGGGCCTAGGCACTGGGTTCATAAAGCCTAGTAAATTCCATATGCCCAACCTCAATTCTCTTCCAGCACCAGAAACTGGCACTAAATTCACAATTTAATGGTGCCTAAATTTTATCTTGTCTTCCAAATCTAGGCCCAAAACAACATGAAATCACACTAAGACAAGGGAGATGGTTATAAGCCCCTCCTAAGAAGATGGTGCTCTGCCATTTAACAGGAGCACCAGCTAAAACCAACTCCCACCAGGTCCATGTGGCTTCCCAGAGGTTCGGCTGCTGCCTTGCCATGAGACACACATAAAGTATCTCTCACCTCCATGTCATTGTGGAGCTCAACTGAGAGGCCATCATGCTTCACCTCAATGGATTTCATGCATGTCTGTCGCAGTCCAGAGATGCAGGCGCCATTATGGAGAATCACCTCTAGGTCCTGCTCCTGGTTTTGAAATAGGACATAGGAACAGCTGCCAGTCAGCTTGAAATTCTGTCCATCAAAGGTCACGATGTGCCGGGTAGAGCTTCCCATGCACACACCTGGACAGGGGAGAATAAAGGATGGATGTGACATTATTCAAACTCCCATACCTGCTACATACAAAGGAAAGGTGTTGCCAAGTTGCATAGAGACAGAGTTGAGAGCCCTAATGGGTCCTTTGAGGTCAGAATACAATTCTCTCATTTTACAGATTTAGGAAACCAAGACCTTGAGTCATTGAATGGCTTAGGTATGTCATACTTGGCCATTAAATATTTTCCTAGACAAGGTTTAGAAGTATCAATATTACATGACAACATAGCAAATTACAGAACCACATTTCTAAAAAAATATAAATGCACTGAGAGAATGATCCACTCTATCAGATGCTTTGGCCCAGGAAACAAAGTTAAGTTCCAAGGGTGTTATAACTCGTTGAAATCACAAGGAACTAAGCAAGCCATAAGCTCATGATCTCATTATACAGAGTGTTCACCTAAAGACACACATGTCCTGTCAACTGCCAATGACTAATGGTACAAGTGGCCATGTTGATTTAATCCCTTAAGAGATCAAACAAGAGAAATATTTCCAGAGCCAAAACAAAAGGTTGCATCTCAGTGCTCCCTCATCTGCCAATCATTCTTTCACATAATCAGCAAATTCTCAAGGTTCCTATTAAAACACCATTTCCAAACACTAACCATCATGCCTCTACCCAAGATGCTTCAGTAAAAATCCTCACATGTAAAGCACCACTGCCATGAATGATTTGAAAATAAAACTTGGACCTAAATGAAGTTGGAGATGAGATTTCCAGACAAACCACAACCACATCTACAGTGGTGAATGAATAAAAGCCAAGAAATAAGAGGCAATTTTTGTGGAACAGCAAGGCTCCACCAATATCCCTCATTCACAGCTGGACCTGGGCCACCTCTGCCCACATGGCAGCACATCCACTAACAAATGATGGGTCTGGATGCACCACTTGTCAGAGCTGAGCAGCCCCATTAGGAGCCCATAAACTCAACATCCCTTAAGTCCTTGCATAGTCAGTAATTCTCAAGTAATGGTGCTGACTGCTTTTGGCCTACTAGCATCCATGCTGCAAGTGACCCCAAATATTCCAGTTATGAATGTTCTCAAGTCTTAGGGAGTCCATCCTCACCTTCTATAAGAATGCATTAAGTTACAAAGCAAAGAAATGCTTTTAGCTCACATTTGTCAAGTTAATGAAAATGGCTCTGCCCATCTTAGGATAAATCATTACAGTGGAATGGACATTTTAGAACTACAGAAACCCAAGATTAAATTCTGATCCACTACTTGTTTTCACTGTGTTGGACAAATTCCTTAACTTCTGTGGTCCTCACCTATCTCCATTGCACAACAGGATTATAACATCTACCTTTTAGGATTAGTTACTGTGAGAATCAGTTATAATGTAGATAAAATGTTTGACCCTCACCAGGTTTGTGTTCAATAAATAGATCTGTAAATATTATGAATAAGCCAATGCCACAAAGAAAATCGAGCAGTTTGTAGTAACAGGAAGATTTCTAGGTTATAGGTGTATTAGAACTTGAGGTTCCTTCATCAATGGAATACTGAACTAAATTGCATCCTAGCAAACCATCACATCATACTCCAATTTATTGATCAGTTTAAATCCACCACATATAATAATACATTTCAATATTCAGGATATAGAAATAGTTAGGTTGACCCAACTGAAAAATAATAAATAAGACAAAATATAGCAGTTCATTACAGAGTCATGTATAACAGGTGTAAGTACCCTGGAATCATTTTGTCTATATCTTTCCTTTTCTTTAATATCTTCTTAGTCATTCTTTCTGAGCATCAACACAAATATCTGTAACAGAAAAAAAGTCTATAATAAAACTTTTGATTGAAGTGTCAAAATATGATAGAAACTAGATACTGAGGTGAATTGTTAGATAAAGCAAAACACAAATTTTCAAAAAAGACATGGAGGTAACCAAAGACAATGGTACCTGCCCAGGTCCACATCTCCATTTATCCTCCAAGAACAGTAAGAACAAATTAAACTACACAAAACCATGCCTCTGACATAACTAGAAGATAAAGAATGCCCAAGCTTTAAAATAACTTTAAGTAAGACACAAAAATTAACACTAAATCTTAGCAATCTCTCATGCTCACACCATTACTAGCCTTTGTCATGAGCAAGAGCCAGCTTAGGAAGACAGAAGAAGGGAGCTAGCAGCAAGTATAAAATATCTCTAAAACCTCTACCAAAAAGAGAAGTCTATATTAAGCATAAAAACCTTTTAAACAAGTCCTGGTAGATCACAGCAGGGGCTTAAAATACATACAATGTGAAGTGTCAGTCTTTGAAAGACATGGCTTCTGGGGGAGAAAACAGCAAAATGGAACACAAGATGGATTTGGCAATCGGGTGGTAAAACAAAAAATAAGTTGCAAAAGGGGAAAATTAATGTTCTGGAAGAAAGTTAATAAACAAAAAACAAGAGGGGCATTTAACTCCTCAGCATCCAAACACAATGAGGACAAAAATCTGAAGAAACAACTTTGCTACAGTGATAGAAAAGAGTATCATTGAACCAGAAATCTCATAAAACCTCAGATCCACAAAATGAATAGAAGTAAACTAAGCAAGTTGACATATAAAGTTACTTCAAAAATATCAGAAAATGAGAATCAACACTCCTCAGCTAATGAAAATTCTACTCCTAAAAGATCACCCATGACGCAGAAGAAAACTAAGCCAACGCTCCAAACTAAATTAAATATACTCAAACATTTGGGCAAATGAAAACCACCTTGAATCAGAATTTTGAAAACTAAGAAAAGAAATGGACATAAAGGAGGGATAAATAAAAATAGAATTAATTGAATTCATGGGGAAAAAAATGGAAGAAAACAGCAAAGTCTCAGAAATGAATACATCAGGGCCCAATGGAGAACAGACTGAAATAAAAATTTAATAAGGAACATTGAAGAAAAGCAAGAAAACAACCAAGAGAAGGAAGTGGGAGTCAGAATCAGAGACACAGTAATGAAAATGTAAGATAAGAAAAAAAAAAAAAAAAAAAGGTACCCTGAAGAAGAAAAACAAAATAATGAGTCAAAACTAATATTTAAAACTGTGATCCACAAAAATTTCTGAAAATCAAAAAAAGAAAAACTGATTCTACATATTGAAAAACACATGCCATACATCAGAAAAATTAACGCAGAACAATCAACTCTGAGAGATATTACAGTGAAACTATTAGACTTCAAAGATAAAGAAAACAGAATTCTTCAAGTCTCCAAGCAAAAAATCAAATAATGTACAAGGGCAAAAGAATTAGACAGGTATCAGAATTTTCAAAGAACATACAAAGCAAGGGGAAAATGGAGCAGCATTTTTCCTGAAACTCAGTGAGATAACATATGAATCAAGAATTTTATATCCAGTCAAGCTGTCCTTCTACTACTATCAAGGTTACAGAAAAGCAGTGTTGAGTACACAAGGATTTAGAGATTTAGAAAGAGGTTTGGTGGTGTGGCGGTTAACGTATTTGGCTGCTAACCAAAAGGGCAGTGGTTTGAACCCACCAGCCACTCCACAGGAAAGATAAGGGAGTCTGCTTCCATAAAGATTTACAGGCTAGGAAACCCTATGGGGCAGGGTCACTCTGTCCTACAGGGTTGCTATGAGTCAGAACCAACTTGATGGCAGTGGGTTTATATCCATGAGGCCTTGAAGCATCCACCACAGGATAAATTTCCTTCGACTAAAAGATGACTGGGAAATAGAAAAATAACTGAAAGTGAGTATTTTTATACATGTAATCATAGATCTGAAACTAAAACAAAGGAAGAGTGGGAGACTAATGTACAAATGTTATAGGCTATAGACAAAGTAGAAACAATACAACTAAAAGAAGAGAGGAAAAGAAAGATTGTTATATTGTATAGGTAACAGGTAGACATTAAAGGATATTTTTGAAAACTGAAAAACTGAACAATTAAATAGGAAAACAAGTGTATACTATTCAACTATAAAGAATGAATTCACAAACATCCTATAACATGATGAATCTGGAGAACACTATGCTAAACAAAGTTGATTACAGAAGGACAAATACTGTATGGCGCCACGATTATGAAAAGTTAGGAATAGATATATACATAGAAAGAAACGTTCTTTGATGGTTACCAGGTATGGGAGCAGGAGGGTGGGGGTATCACTTTCTGGATAATAGAGACTTGTTATATTTTTGGTGATGGGAAAAACAATACCAAACAAAGGTGAAGAATGACTGCAAAACTCAACCAAAGTAAATGAAGACACTAAGTACATGAGAAAAATGAACTTTGGTAAATGCTATAACATATTCAGTTGGGCAATAACAGTAATAACAATCAAAAAATAAGCATGTGGTTACATAGGGAGAAGTATATACATGTATGTCTATCAGAAGGCACATGTGAGAGTATCACATGTAGGTTTGAGTGTATCTGTAGACATATGTAAGTATATGTTTGTGTGTGCTACATATATATCCATGTTGTTGTAGTTGTTATGTGCCATCGAATCAGATCCAACTCACAGGGGCCCCTCCTTGGGTTTCCGAGGTGGTATCACTACGGAAGTAGATCGCCCAACCTTCCTTCTGAGGAGTGGCTGGTGGGTTTGAACCACCAACCTTCTGGTTAGCAGTCAAGTGCCCCAGGCACTACACCACCAGAGCTCCCACAGATATAACAAAACACAGAAAGCACAGTTATGGAGACTTCCTATACATATACACCAACTTATGGAATTAGTCTACTAGGTTGAAAGGTTTAGTCTCATGGGATAACTTAGGTATTTGGCATAATATAGTTTATGAAGTTAATGTTCTACATCCTAGTTTGGTAAGTAACCCCCAGGGTCTTAAAAGCTTGCAAGTGGCCATCTAGGATACAACTGCTGGTCTCTATTCATCTAGAGTAAAGGAGAATGCACGAAACTAAAGATTAAAGGAAAGAATTAGTCCATAGGACTAGTAGCCCATGTGAACCATGGCCTCTCTAACCTGAGACCAGAAGAATGGAATGGTGCCTGGCTACCACAATTGACCATCTGACTAGGGACACAATAGAAGGTCCTGGTTAGAATGGGAGAAAAATATAGAACAAAACCCTAATTCATAAAAAAGACCAGACTTACTGGACTGATAGAGACTACAGGAACCCCTCAGATACTATTTTAACCTAAAACTGAAACCACTCCTGGAGGTCAGCTTTCAGCTAAACAATACATTAGATTTTAAAATAAACTATATCATCAATGCATAATGTATCCCTTAAGCAATTAACTATATGACAACAAATGGTCAACATTTATCCAAAATCAAAGATGGGAAGGCAAGGAATGGAAGGGAAGCTAGATCAATGGAAATAATGAGAATGCTGACACATTGTGAAAATTGTAACCAGTGTCATAGAACAATCTGTATAAAAATTGTCAAATAGAAACCTAATTCACTGTGTAAACTTTCACCTGAAAAATAATAAAATATTGAAAAAGAAGAAGAAAACTCAGCACCTAGGGCATTAAAAAGGGTATAAGTACAAAAGTAATGAGCAGAACAAAAGTTTAAACCTTCCAAAATATTAAAAAAAAAATTAAAAATAAAAGCCAAAGAATATACATCGTATAGAGAAAGAAATAAAATGAAATATAACATACACAATTACAAATTATTAAGACAGTGAGAGCAAACATAAACATGGCAATAAATGAGAATGGGCTTAACTCACCTACTATAAAAAAAAAATACATATTTTCAATTTGGCTTAAAAGAAATATCCAACTACAGGCTGTATACAAGACCTAAAATTCAGAAAGTCTGAAATAAGGGGATAGACAAACAAGAAAGAAGAGCCAGGAAAATGAAAATGCTGGAAATGAAAAACTATGCAAAGGTAGTTGCCTAACTAGAGATTTTAAAAAACAATATAATTAAGACAGTGTATTACTGGTTGACGGATAGGCTAACAGATCAATGGAAAAGAACAAAAGGTCCAGAAATTAACCCAAGCATATACATAAATTTAGTATATGACAAAGGTATCATCTCAAATCACTGGGATAAAACTGAGCATTTCTATAAAAGGTATTGGGACAACTGTGTAGCTATTAGGAAAACAAATTAGAGCTATACTTTATACCATTCACCTGAATAAATTCCAAGTGCTATCTAATGTAAAAATAAAACTATACATGTATTACTTCGTAGAATTGTAGGGGGCTTTTTATTATTATTATTTTGACTATGATTTGAATGAAAGTTTACAGAACAAATTCATTTTCCATACAGCAGTTCATATACATTTTGTCTCATGACATTGACTGCAATTTCCCACAATGTAACAGCTCTCTTCCCACTTCCTCCCCA